ATATATATATATATATATATGTATGTATGTGAATCTGGTTTTGTAAAAGTTAATCAAACTGTGTTTAAGAAACTCAGTTCTATAATTATCAAAAAGAAACTTGGGTCTATAAACCATTGAAACATATTTCTTCCACATACCAAATAGAAAATCTGATAATACTGGTTATTTACAACAACAGACGGCAGAGCTTTGGGTACTGTTCAAATTCTTAACAACATAGACAAAATGCTAGATATATTTGGAAGGTCAACCTTCCAGTTCTCTCTGAAATTTATTCTTCATGATACAAATACAGGCCAAGACCAAACCTTGCACAAGCCTTGCAGAAAGCTATTTCTTCTGCTGCAGCAACAGGATCCACAATGCGACCATCACTGGATGATACTGTTCCAGTTGCCTCACGGTGTGCCTGTATTAATGTGTCATGTCCACAACTTGCATATTAGTAAATAATAATGAAGTATACATGCTTAGTCTCTTTAATTGGAGGATTTTCTTGAAATAAAATGCAACAAAGAAACAAGACAATTTTGCTTACTACTTACTGAACTTTCCATTTCACATGTAGTATGAGAGAAGAATTTCTACCAAACCTAGCAAGAGAACTACACATTTGAGAAAAAACAATTTAGAACAGGCGCCCTAGGGTTGGATGCTTAATCTTGAGATATTTGGTTGTGTGCAGAACTTTGGGATGGAAGACTCAATATTTATAAAGGGTTAGAGGATTCACATTTTTCAATCATTTCTCTGCATCTAAATATGAACAAATTCTCCAAATAATTATCACTTTTAAGTCATATCGCATTCAAAACCATATTCAAGTGTTGCATCTCTTAAGGTTGTGTGACATATGATTTTCCTTTACTTCTGTCATGAATATTTACAATTAAAGCTAAAGTATCAGAAAAATACCTGCCTGATAACAAAACCCCCAACCTTGCAACTTTTTATCTACATAGATAGCTAATTTAATCAGAGTACAATAACTGATTAGACCATTATCCCCATCCTCATCGAGATACTATCAAATCTTGAAAGGACAGGTGAGCCAGTAGGGATTAAAGTGGTATTTGATTGTTAATTGAAACGGATTGAAGTGGGTGATTACCCCTTACTAACCAAAAATGCCTGTCACAGGCTCCAAGAATGTAACAATTTTAATGATTGAATTTCTCCATAATATCTTTTGACAACCCCATATTTCATAATTTTTTAGCTGTGGCAGAGAATAAGATGTCATATTATATTATCTCTTACAAACCGTTGGTATCCATTATACCACAAGCACTCATGCCAAGCTAAAATGTCCATCCTTTTACCTCTTTATGAGAATCCTTAATATGATTCCTATTTTCTCAAATAAGAATGGAAAAACCTAACTACAATTCCTATCACTTGCTAATGATTTTTTATGATAATATGGAATACCATATACCATTGGCCTAAAGCAATCAGTATCAAAATGAATTTTAGGAAATACAGTGCAAAAAATCGGTATTTTAAATTAGTAAATCTAGAATTACAACAAGACAAAGAATGGGGATAACTTTAGCCAACTATGATAGCTCCTTGCTAACAAGCCTGGATTCTGTTTTGATTGCTTATTTAAGAGGCACCAGAAAAACACCTAAAGAGGGATAAAAAACGCAGAGTGGAAACAAAAGTTTAACAAACAATGAATTGAGAGCTCTGTGTTTCATTACTTTAAGCACATTAAAGAATCAACTTTTGTTCATATTGAATGAAAGATAATGTATAAATAAAATTAATAGATTTAAAATACACCAATGCAAGAGACAAAGGAATTCGCAATTGAAATGAACTGGTGAAACAAGCAGAAAGAAACAGGAAATCAACTGCATAGAAAACAAATACAGTAATTGCAGAAAGAAGCAAACCTCTCCATCAGACCCTCTTATGGTGAGACGGTACACAACAGTTACGCTTCCATTATCAGAGAAAATAACATCACGCACTTCTCCACACCATCCTGTCAAAGCAAAGTAGCCAATTCAGTAACCAAATACCCATTTTTAGTATAATAATCTAGTCCCAGATAAATAGAATCGAAAAAACGAATTTTGTTTAGTAAAAGGGCAAACCAGGAGCATAGAAGCTCAACATTCGATTGGCATGATACCTAGAAGAAGACGATCGGATCTGATCAGGTTAGAAAACTGCACAAAAATTAAGCATTCAAATCAAATTTATAAAAGAAAATCAAGAAGCAAACCAGGGAATGAAATTGGAAGACGAGGATCGAGGAGGAGTGGTGATGATGTTATCAGGGATCCGCTTGTTCAGGTCGCGGAGGATCTCAACCAAAGGCCGAGTGATGTAGGATGAGCTGGAAGGCGAGTCGAGAGGCACCACGTAGTTAGAATTGGGCACTCCCTTCTTGGCATCGCTGCTGCCATTGCTTTTGCTATTAGTGGAGTAGACGACGCCGATCGATCGCCGGCGGCCTTCGTAAACAGCAGGAAGGAAGAGGAGGTGGTTGGATTTGTGGGATGAGGAAGGCCCCCTTTGCGGGAGGAAGAAGCTGAAGCTGAAGCTGGTGGATTGAAACTGCAATGCCATTTGGAGATGCGACGGAGCTTCGCTTCCTCTCGGGGGAGAGGGGAGAGGGGAGAGGGGAGAGGGAGAGGGAGAAGGAGACTGGCAGGCAGAAGATGGTTGCGCAGAAGAGCAGACCTAGACCCGAGCAAACCACATGCCCCAACCTCCTCCTCCTCCTCCTCCTCCTCCTACTCCTAACACCATTTTTTTTCCTTTTTTTTTTTTTTTGGTTTAATACCCAATTTGGTCCCTAAACTTTCATTTCGAAACTTAGTTCATCCTTTAACTTCAGAAGGGACCCAAACCATCCTTAAACTTCATTTTTTTAGAACCCAAATGGTCCTTTCGTCACAGTAGTGCCCACCTAGCCCATTAACTTGCCACAAATTAATACTTTTATTTTAGAAAAATTACGTGGAAAAAAAATGATGATTTTGTAATTTCAATTTCTCGAAATACAACATCAATGCCGGCGGCCAAAATCCCCTTAGCCATCTCCGTCAATTGAGAGAAAACCCCGGCAGTAGAGATCGGCAAGTTGAGCGCAATCAGGACCATCATCCCCAACGTGACACTGGGGCGAGTGTTCATCAACTGCGACTACAACACTCCCATGATCTCGCAAATCATCGAATCGTAGCTCATATAGACACGTTTCTCCCAATCCATCCAGTCCGCAGGCAGCTTGTAGTTCCTCTCGATTATCTTCATCTCATGAATCCTCTTCCAAAGAATGATCATGTTTTCATCAACAATCCGTCTGCTCGAGTCTCTGCCACGCACCTCTTTCTTCGCCAGGAATATCTTCGTTAAGATCGTTTAAAGCCGAATCCGGCATCCGCATAAAATAATTACATAAATGAATTCTAGAATTGTTTGGTTTTATAAGTTGGGGATTCAATCAAATCAGGAGAATAACTCCTTTGCAAGCTGCTATACTTTTTGCAAAGGGACAAAAAAAGCTAAAATCGGCTAAGATCTCAATCGATAGAAGCATCGATTCAACTCCATTTTCGCTGCATCAGCTCCACACAACTTCAAACAAAAATGCAGCAAAAATATTGAGGAATTAAGCCAACCTAGGGCATACTACTAATAAGTTCGTTTTCCTTTCTAGTTTCCACAGTTTCTTAGCAACCAAACACAAATTTCCATTGCAATCCTCAAGTAAAAAACAAAATCTACTTTTGTATCAAAGGATTTAAGTATATAAAGCCACAAAAAAATCACTCACCGATGCCAAGTTGAAAGAGAATGAGTCTTCGAGAAGGATTGTTACTGTTGGAGGCACTGGTATCATCGCCATTGATGAGAGTAGAAGAGAAGTTCGGAGATGGCGACCACATTGAAGGTTTGCAAATTGAAAGACAATGCGTCGAAGAAGAAGACGGTGCAACTGGGAGTGTTGTTCTTAGCATTTTCTCTTATCTTCCTCACCCCAATCCCAATATGGGTTCTAAACCCCAACCAGAAAAGAAAAGGAAAAAGAAAAAGAAAAAAAAAAGGGAAAGAAAAGGGAAATGAGGAAAGAGGAAAGAGGAGGGTGGAGAGTAGAGAGAAAAATGAGAAAGGGAAAGAATGATGCCGTTGGATTGGTGTTGATGTCGGTGCTGGAGAACAGGGAAATAACAAAAATGGCAGGGAGGGATGGGGGTTGAAGATAAGGGGAGGGTTAATATTTTAATTGTATATTTTTTTATTAAATTTATTAAAATGATTAAATCATTATTTTCTTTTCCACGTAATTTTTCTGAAATAAAAGTATTAATTCTTGGCAAGTTAACCTGCCAAGTAGGCACTTCTGTGACGGAAGGACCATTTGGGTTCTAAAAAAAATAAAGTTTAAGGATGGTTTGGGTCCCTTCTGAAGTTAAAGGATGAACTAAGTTTTGAAATAAGAGTTTAGGGACCAAATTGGGTATTAAACCTTTTTTTTTCTTTTTTTTTTTTGGTTAAATCCGAATTTTAGCCTTTGACTTCAAAATTTTGCACCATTTTTTCTTGACTTAACAAAAAAAAAAAAAAACCAACTTAAATAACTCAGTAATCACATTTTTTTATTAAAAATAAAAGATTTTAATTTCGAGTCACATGATATGCGAGTGAGATAAGATACGAAATGAAAAATGATTGCTTTTTATTGTGCAACAAAGATAAAAAAAAAAAAAAGAACAAATATATATATTATTATTTTATTAATTAATCCGTTAAATATATTCAAATATACATATTTTTAGCTTTTAAATTTATAAATTTAACATATATTTAGTCCCTAAACTTATAAATTCAAAAACTAAAAATGTGCAAACAAAGTTAGTGAATTAATTGATAAATAGATTTAAAAAAGGTGCATTTTTTTAAATTGAGATTCTACAAAAATATTAAAAATAGTTGAAAAATAAAATTTATACAAAATTTTAAAGTTAAAAGATTTAAATTGATATCTAATCTTACTTTTTGTTGATGGATGTTTTCGTAAAAGGTTAAACTTGGACTCGAGTAGTTTTCACGTCACAAAGACTCGCCTTAATCTAAACATCTATTAATGCCTTCTATGTGCATTTATCAAAAAGCCCAGCAACATTTGATGTTGTAATATATGGTTACGCCCAACGGTATCTACTGCTATAGTACATGGCTGCATCGTTAGAAATACATAAGGAAGTCCCTTTTTTTATTATTTCCTTATTTATTAATCTCATCATCTTTATCAACTAATTACTGCTTTTACATGTACGTCATCAATAAACCCATGAATCCAAGCTCATGGAAATTATTTGGGATAAATTATAGGAGTAGTGGCTTGGCAGGTATGGATGGATGAACGTTGCTTGTCTAGCGAAGCGAGGTATTCGTGTTAGCGAAGCTTGGTGCTGGCAATGTTGCTTGACTTTGCCGGAAAAGGCTGGGTAACAAAGACGTGGAGACTGAGCTCGGTCATAAAATTGTACTATTTGATGCTAACTAGAAGCTTGGAATCCTGTTTAAAACCAACCAGAGATGTTGTCTTGGTCACCATCAGCAACTTGCAGCTGTATTCAATGTAAAAGATGGCTGCACAAGTTCCATGATTTTGGGAATTGTTGAAAAAGATCTGATTTCGTTGGGAAAATCTACCAAAATCTTGGGCAGACCCTAGGAAATCTACTAATATCTTGGGTAGCCTTGGGAAATCTACTAATATCTTGGGCAACCCTTAGAAATCTACCAAAATCTTGGCCAGATTTGATTTTGCTTACTGCACTCAATTATCCCCCCAAAAATGGAATTTCGTATGGCTGGAGAGTTAAAAATGGACATTCTTCAGCAAATTAGCAATACTTCGTTGGAACTAATGGTGCTTTTCTGGAATTGATGGTGCTTCCTTGAAACTGATGGAGCTTCACTGGAACTGGTGGTGCTTCGTTGGAACCACTAGATAATTCATAATATCATTGCCAAAAAGCTATCAGCAATGCCCAAAGCCACTCAAAACTCGACAGCTCACCCAAATCTACCCATTAGGCTACTGTGCACCTCTGACCCATCAACCTAGAAATTACAAAAATACCGCTCCACATATATATTATTTTCCCTTCATTTTTTAGTAGATTTGAACAGTTTTCATAGCTCTAACTTTCTTCCTCACGTACCAAAACTCCCATTTTTCCTCTAAAAAATCCTTCATCTTCAACCTCTCCCCAAATACACCAAAAATACCTAGAAACCACCATTTTTATTATATTTTCTACACTTCCAGCACTGTTGAACAATTTCTAGACTTGCACAACATCATGGCTGCAAGACAACGTACTACAGATTTATTTTTTGGGTTATCTTCATGAGCATCAAAGGATCAAGTTGAAGAGTTAGCATAAAAAACGGGATCAAGCCCCCACAACAGTCATCCTTCCTTCTTCCATCACTACTTTCAAGTTTATTCCTTTTGTTTTGTTGGGTTGCTTATTATAGAGTAGAAGTATTTGTCAAGGATAAGAGAGGGCACATTCATTGTCCTTGCTATTGTACTACAATATTCTATGTAAAAATGTGCTTCTCAAGTTGTAATTTTTAACCCTCACATATTTTCTATCCTTGTTGCTCCTACAACATTGTATATTTCATTTTCATTATTTTTGGTAGTTGTGTAATCATTCTTGTTATCTTGGAAGCACCATCATCACTCCACTTATTTTGGTTTGGCTGGGGACATTCTATTTCAAGTCTTTGTTGGAGAAGCTCTATTTGCGGACTTCGCTGGAGAAACTCCACTCCTGGTCTTTGTTGGAGAAACTACATGACAACTCCTCCCTTGCAACAACACCCCTTTTAAAAATTTTTTTTTTTTCTTTTTGTAACAAGCTTATTCAAATATAACCTTCAGCCAAAGAAACTTACTTTTGAAGGGACTTACACCATAATAATTTACACACTTGTTCATATAGAAGATATTCCTTGGGAGCCAAAACTCATAGGCTTTTTTAACCCTATAAACTCCCTCCATATCATGCATCCACCTCCACCAATCCTCCCTCCCTTCCTTTAAATCCACACTTGCCAACAATTTTTTGTTAATAAAATATTCTTAGGAGTAAATCAATTGCAAAATATATGAATTATATATTTCTTTATTTACTTTCACCTAAAAAAGAAGATTGGATGATCAAGGTGAGGATATGTAAGTTGAAGGATGTTTTTAGTTTGAAACATGATGGGGAATATTAAGAACTAAGATAGTTTTAGTTGATGAGAGGGTGATTTTAATTTATGAGTTTTTTTGGCATTTGATTTTTTTGGTACTTACAAACAATTCTTTTTTACAATATCTATTCATATTGTTTATAGCAAAAATTTATTCTATGATTTGAAGTTTTAATACTCCTTGATTTAAAGAAAAGTTAGTTGAAAGAAATGTTTATTATATGAAAATTTTTTCTATAGAGAAGAACGAGGATAAATATCAATGTTATTTTTTATAATAATTACATTGTTATTAAGAATTCAAGTAGAGAAACCGAAATAATCCTAAGATGTACATTTGAACTCATTGATTATGCAACATTACTCAACAAGGTAGAAATCTCTTTGTGGTATGTGTTCTTAATTATCATCTAATGTGCCTAATTTATTTTTATATAATTATATATATATTGAAAATCTAAATGTTTTTATGTTTTGGTCGATATTGGAACTTCACTCAAAAAACAAGCAAAC